TGTTCACTTTACACCGCTATTACTAGAACAGTTGTGAACCAATTTTCTTATTGCTTGCACGATGAGATGTCCAATTCAATTCTTGACAGGTAGCCATAATTAATTTCGCATTAATCTTATGAGATATTGGCGAAAAACAGGAGGGGTGGGCGAAATTCGCTCTTCCCCCTCCACTGCGCGTGCTAACATACGTTTGCATATGTGCAATTTTCTTCAAAACTTGTGAATGGCCCACTCTAATTTTTTCACAGGTTGTTAAGAATATGGTAGGCAATAAAATATATGAAAATGAGCCAAATCGAAGGTGACGTGTTTTTTGCTATTTCAATATTTGTGCTTAAGAACAGAGTTAAGCAAATTTCAAGGTCATATATTTAAGTAGGTGCAATTCTAAACAAATGCTTAAGAAATTACCTAAACAGTAAGGTTTATTTCATTTAAATCAAACAAGTACAACCAAAGTTATGGTCGTTCAAAAATATAAAGATGCAACATTTCGTAAAAAATTGATGCCCTATATTTAGAAGACCTGTGGTCAGAATGTGCAAAAAACATCAATGTAATGTCCGGGGCCACACAGGAACTCGCTCACAAATTTATAATGAAATCGGTGATGGTAAGGTGCAAAACAGCCGATTTTTGTTCGATTTGACGTGGAATGCCCCAACGCCGAAAAAGTCACTTCTTTGATATTTTTAGTTTGTGCGCGTAACGGTATGCGAATTCATCAAATGCGCCTGGTATGTTTGAAAGGCAAAAGACTGGCCTCTCGAATGACGCCAACAAGAATAGCTTATGTTGTCTACCTTGCGTGCTACGGGCGTCAGAAAAAAGTCTTCGGCGTTCCCCCAACTTCCCCTATATGCTGTAAGTTCTATCATTTTGCCAAAGCTCTCGCAATGCCCTCCAGAAAGATCACTCTTGCGGCACCTTTCGGCAGCAATCCGCTGACCCAGCCTAGGCTCTGAAGGTGGCACCTATCATCAACATAGCCGGCGAAATTATATGAAGCTGTATATCAAAGTGTCACGTGTCGACGCAATATCGCAACGGCTCGAGCGCAAGCTTGGACCTAATCTATTCACATTTCTGCGAGACGCTTTCAGACAGTGAATATTTCGACACTTGGATGAGAAATTGAATAAGGTAGTTCCGTTGTTTGAGGAGTAAATTGGAGTGGCATCTGGAAACGCTTTCAAAGCGTGAGGTCATATCACATCCAGCTAAGCTCGCGTGAGTCACACCTCTGCTGAGGGCCAAATCAGCATATCAATCGGCAACAAGAAACTAGTCCACGCTTTACGCGCGGAAGCCCGTTAGCATAGGTCTCACGACGTTTCAGATGTTAATAAGGGTAGTTAATCATGTGACCTATTGACTGAATCGGTAAATAACGTCTTGGCCACCCAGTTCTGCCAGACAGTTGGCAAACTCCTAATTTTCAATATACATAAATGTTCGTCGGGCACGCCTAGGATTTAATACCCAAGTATCGCATGAGATGATTGCGTAAAATGAGTTCATTTTCTGGCAGTTAGAAAAATTTCAATAAGTATCACAGGTAAATAAATAAAGAAGAAAAATCAGTAAATAGATAAAAATATAAGTTCAGCTATCAGAGATAGCGTTCCATCATTTCCTTTATGATCATCACAATTTTTCGCTCATTTCAGATTCGCCTTTGAGCCACTTCCTACAGGTAGTGATCCCAAACTCACTCGCAACGCATTTTTCAATAGTATCTCTCATTGCATAAAGCTTCAACATACCAACGAATTTGAACGCCCACAAATATGCCTCGTCAACACGCCCTTGGCAATGGGAAACCACTTAGGCTGGCGTTGCGTCTGATCAGATAGGACGGGAATCATTTCACGCCTGCGAGTGGGGCGGAAGGCGGCACTGCGATAATTAAACGGCGGCTCGTTTGGAGCCCAGTCGCTCAGACTCGCGGGGAGGGGCGGAGCAGTGCAGAGGGACGGGTGCTCGTGCCACGCCGGGCTGATGTCTGGACGCAGAGCAAGGTCAGGCCGCCACCTCGGCTGCAGCCGGCAACAGCTAATGACGGCGGGCTGTCCGCCTTCCCGCCGGCTTCTGAATCGGCCCCTCCCCTACCTCCCCGCCCCTCTCGCTCTGCACGTTCTGATGCAAGCCCCTCGTGGCCGCCCACCCACCCCTCCCCGCCCATCCGCCCCTCCCCGCTCCTCCCACACCATTCGCATCTCGAGAAACGCGGCACGATATCCTTCAACGTCCCGCGCCGGAAATTGCGCCAAATTAATACGAGTGAACGCCACAATGGTCTACAAACAATAGTTAGGTGCCTTACAATCATATGGAATGATGCGGCATTACGTCTGGGTGCACGGGTGCATCTGAGTCGACCGCAAGTGGGTGTTTTCAGCTCGGTCTAACGCAGGGTTGACTGCTCCCTGGGTCTGGAGGAGCGAGGGACTGGGTTTTGGTGAAATGCGGCTGAGGCAAGAAGGTCGGCTGTAGCGGCATGACACCTCCCAGTAAGACGGCCCAAGAATTAGTCTAGAATGACCCGAGAATGACTCAAGAACGACTTGAGAATGACTCAAGAATGAACGGAGGATGACTCAGCTCCGCGAAACGCATGGGATGTGTCTGGTATGCTCATCAACCGGAGGCTTTTCAAAAGGTGCCGTCACTTGAGTTCCTGGAGGATGATCGGCGCTTAGGATAATGAAACGGGTGGGGAGGGATTCGCGGAAAATTGCATCATTTCATTGTTGAGCCTCGTGGCGCAGGGACGGTCAGAAAAGAGGGAAGGTGCAATTATATAACATAATGATACTGTAATGCAATTAACAACACAGAAACATTGCTCTCACCGCATCAGAATAACATCTCGTAATTCATTTATTTTCTGACTTTGAATAGCACGGGAACATTGCGTTGGCTATGACCAAAGAGCCTTTACCTTTCCGGAGATCTGAGGACAAAGCAGACGTCACTGTCCTTTGTGTGTACTATCTAAAGGACACGGTCAATTGCCTTCATTAAGAGCCAACAAAGTGTGCTTGGCAGTTCCGCGATCAATGTCTGAAGGCGCGTCTACTCGTATATGACTGTACCAATTGCCGACCACATGGCTTCAGCATGAAACTTTCATGTGAAAGCACAATTACTTTGTTTAGATGCTGCCCGTTGCTAGAAAAGGCCAGGATAGGTATACTCGTATGTAAGTGCTGCCTACCAAACTGCTAATAAATGTCGTTAAATATGTAGCCGGTTAGAAGAAAATGAAAAAAGACGCGCGCGGACTACTTTTGCCCGTCGTCATGTTGTCAGTAACAAAAATATGCAATCCCTCAAAAGGAAATAAAAGGTTAAAATTGCGGCCAACAGTCAAAAATACCACACGCCCAGTTTACATACGAGCCATGTAATAATGAAAACTAATATATCAGCCAGTCCGATCATACCGGTGTCTTCAACACGTATAAATAATTTGCCAAGTCTCTTATTCTCACAAACACGCACGCAGCAAAACAGACTAAGAAAGAAGCACAGTTTTATAATAAATAGGTGGGCAAAAGACTAACTTCCTAGTGAGCCAGCTTAGCGGGAGATGATACTAGTGAGGAGTGCATATTTTTCATCCGCCGTAATCTCTTGTTACCGTGGTATCTTGAAGAAAAAAAACAATAAGGATTCACATGAAAGAAATACCAAATGGTTAGAATCGCATTCCGATGCACCTGGCCCTCTGAACCTATTTCTAAAAACAGAGATTTCGTAACTATCAAATTCTTCAATTGGTTGAGGTTAGGTATTGGTGCACCTTTTTATGGTTACTGAAAGCAGTCTCCTGCCCAGCTGCAAATATATCAGCTGTGTATTACGTAACCATTCAGTCGTATTGTTAACACTTAAAAAATCCAAACTAGCAATTCATTAATGCTATGGGAACGTAAATGATTAACTTCGCAAATATCCAACCAATACCACTGTTATGTCTCGCGGCCCACCATCGACACACCACCGCTCGGTTCCGACTGACTGTATTGTAGCACGGTGGTGGGGACGACAGGAGGGTCGTCCCCTCAGGCAGTCCCTGACCTGGGCAGGGACCGACCCAGGTATCACACACACAGTAGCAGGCAACTCACATATCGGCCACCGCCAATGCCCAGGCAGGGGTCTGCACAGGTGTGCACACGGCCCATTACATAACACCTCTCCACCCTATTTTCTTAGTATCGGCCTCGGCCTCAAGTTATAGCGACGCGGCGGATCATCAGGCTGCGGCTGAGTGGTACACTGAGCCGCAGACGGCGGCCGCGGCGGGGACGGCGGCGGCGTCTCGGCGTCCCCCGGCTGAGTGGTCCCTGGATCCGCAGACGGCGGCGGCGGGGGCAGCGGCGCCGCGGACGCGGCCCTGGTCCCCGGCGGCCCCCCGGCCGCGGGATCCCTCTCCGCTGGTGCGGCGAGTCGTCCTCTTCCCTCCTCGGAAAGCGGTGTCCCAGGCGGAGGCGGCTGCATCCAACCCGGCGGCATGGACGGCGTCGGCTCATCGGGCAGCTTCATCTGACGGCTAGACCCGCTGGGCACCACGAAGTCTAGGTGGCGCTGTATCACGCGGCCGTCCTCCAGACGAACAGTGATCTTGGATCCAGAGCGGCTCACGCAGTGTCCCGGGAGCCAGCGTGTTCCCCGTCCGACGCCGGCCAGTCCGGAGACCTGTGACACCCAGACACGCATTCCAGGGGTTAGAACACGATCCTGTGACCGACGGTCATATCTCTCCTTCATCTGCTGCTGTGCGGCTGACACACGGTCCTGTAGGTCAGGCAGTAAACAATCCATACGAGTCCGCAAACGTCGGCCCATCATCAGCTCTGCTGGAGTCTGCGCCGTTGTGCTGTGAGGAGAGGTACGGTAGGTAAACAGAAACCGGCAGATTTTCGTGTCCATGCTGCCATGTTTCTGCTTTCTCAGGCCCTGCTTCACCGTCTGCACACAACGCTCCGCTAGACCGTTAACCGATAATCACCACAGAGACGGACCTCACCTGACGCCTTCAGTGCAGTGACGATCGGTGCAGCCCACGTGCAGTGTTTCACCGGTTCCAGCAGCCCGGCCCGGATCTGACGGTCCAGCTCGGCGTCGACAGCAGCACGGTACGCCAGCGGTACCGGTCTGGGCTTGTAGAAGATGGGGCGTGTGTCTGGGTCAATCGGGATATCTACCACAATCCCCTTCGCACATCCCAACTCATCCGCAAACACATCAGAGTACTTATGCAGCACAGACTCAACTCCGCTTCCCAGCGTCTGCGTCGTCACCATGCAGATGGTTCTCCAGTCCAGTCTGATGCTCTCCAACCAGTTCCTGCCGAAGAGCAGCGGCCCTGTCCCATCAACTACTACCAGGGGCAGGCTAAACGACTCTCCCCGGTACACCACGTCCATCTGCACCTCACCTCGGACCTTCAAAGGCTCGCCTGAGAAGGTGTGTAGGATGAGGCTGCACGGCTGCAGACGGCGTTTCTTCTCCGGCCAGAGCTCTTGAAACCTGCTGAACGAACAGACGGATACAGATGCACCCGTGTCAAGCTCCATCCTGACATCACGCCCATCCAGCGACATGTCCAGCATGATCGGAGGCCGGCTTTTCACCACATGAATCCGCTCCCGACACTGAAAAACCTCCCCGATAAAGTCACATTCTTCAGTGTCTGCCTCCATCACACTCTGCTCTTCCCCAGATCCTGCACCATCGCCCTCCTCCTGACGGACCACCTCCGACCCAACATGTTTCACCGTCCCTGCCCGGTGAGCGGCCGAAGTATGCCCGTACTTGGAACACTGGAAGCAGCGCTTACGTTTAAAGTAGCATTCGGATTCAGAGTGCGTTCTATTCAAACAGCGCCAGCATCTCTCACCTTCATGCCGCGCTTGCTTACTGGCGTTGTGTCGCTCCTGGCTGGTCCGCTGTGAGGCTGACGGGCCCGTCCGGACACGGTTCACTGCCGTCTCCCCCGTAGCGGACACCACCGGCTGGCCAGCTCCTGCCAGCTCCTGTAGGTTTTGACCTGCTGTTTCCGTTGCCACAGCAATCTTGATTGCCTGCGGCAAAGTCAGCTCAGCTTCTGCCAGCAACCTGCGCTGAATGGGGTCAGAGTTAACTCCACACACCAGCCGGTCTCTGATCATTTGATCAAGAAACGATTCGAATTTGCAATCCCGTGACAGCTGTCGCAGGCGCGCCACAAACTCCTGAACAGACTCTGACTGTACTCGACAACAGGAAAAGAACCGATATCTTGCGACAGTTACCGATGTGGGCGGACAAAATTGCTTGCTCAATGTTTCAACAATCATGACATACGTCACCTCATTTGGTTTCTTCGGTGACAACAGCGATCTTACCGTACCGTATGTCCGAGCTCCCATGCTGCTGAGAAGAATGGCCCTCTTCTTAGCATCGTCCTGGATGTCATTAGCCACGAAGAATTGGTCCAACCTTTCCGCATACTCTTCCCAGTTATCTTGTCCTTGGTGAAATTCTTCAATCTTCCCCAACGGCATGGCTCCGTCCTCACTCCGCTCGTCGCCAATGTTATGTCTCGCGGCCCACCATCGACACACCACCGCTCGGTTCCGACTGACTGTATTGTAGCACGGTGGTGGGGACGACAGGAGGGTCGTCCCCTCAGGCAGTCCCTGACCTGGGCAGGGACCGACCCAGGTATCACACACACAGTAGCAGGCAACTCACATATCGGCCACCGCCAATGCCCAGGCAGGGGTCTGCACAGGTGTGCACACGGCCCATTACATAACAACCACCATCTCAAGAAACACAAGGGAGCAAGGAGGCTAACTAGCCTCTAACCAGCTATCAATATTCATGCCTATTTTCCCCAGCTCAGAGTATGCTCCTCTTCACTCCAAGCTGACGCTTTCCCACACAATATTTCGACGAACAGACAAAATTAAATTCCGCTCTAGCTTCTGAGCCGTCGGCTGCTTCAGCTGCGACCACAGGTGCTTTAGGCCGCGAGCATCATCACAAACGCACGCTACCGTCACATCGCACCAGCTCTTCGGCTAAGCCCGCACCGCGGTATACGCTTCCGGGACACGAAACTTCCTCAACAGATGAGCTTAAGTACGCCGTAGAGCAGAGCAGAAGTTAGGATTATGGGACGGTGTGAGCAAGCACAGGACGGACACGGGCGCAGTTTGTCTAGGACAGAAACGACAGAGACGGAGAAAGATAGAAGAGAGAGAGAGAGAGAGAGAGAGAGAGAGAGAGAGAGAGAGAGAGAGAGAGAGAGAGAGAGAGAGAGAGAGAGAGAGAGAGAGAGAGAGAGAGACGGAAACAGAAGCATAGACGGAGAGATGAATGATACCGAGACGGAGAACGAGACGGAGAAAGAAAATGATTTAGAGAGACATGACAAAAAGATAGAGAAAGAGAGACAAGGGCCAGGGCCAGGAAGAAGGAGGGAGGGAGAAGAGAGAGAGAGAGAGAGAGAGAGAGAGAGAGAGAGAGAGAGAGAGAGAGAGAGAGAGAGAGAGAGAGAGAGAGCGAGAGAGAGAGAGAAAGAGAGAGAGAGAGAGAGAGAGAGAGAGAGAGAGAGAGAGAGAGAGAGAGAGAGAGAGAGAGAGAGAGAGAGAGAGAGAGAGAGAGAGAGAGAGAGAGAGAGAGAGAGAGAGAGAGAGAGAGAAGGAAAAAGGAAAGAGAGAATCAAACAGACAGACAGACAGACCGACAGACAGACAGACAGACAGACAGACAGACAGACAGACAGACAGACAAACAGACGGCCGGCCGGGTGCTATCGGGTGTCTGCTATAGGACGGAATTGCGCCCGCCGGTGGCTGCTGGACGTCGTGGGCACTCGCCGGATGTCAGAAGGCAGGCCTGAGGTAGTGGAGACGGTAACGGGATACTGACGGAGTGCCGCCGGCCACGGGTCCATCCATCGTGTCCGGCTACCCTTTAGAGGAGCCGACTCGTCCGGAGCCGTGATGTGCCATTTGGTATGCATGCGAGCTCGAGTCCGATTTGGACCAGCTCCCTCGGGCTGCCGCGGGTCGCCGGCAGAAACAGATGACCGGGACCGTTATAAAGAACGTCAAAAATTAACTCGGGGATGCCGCTTGATAACACTGAAATGCTGTTCCAACGTCTTTGCATTTGAATTAACTAGGTACAGAAGTAAATTATTGGTTGTAATAGTTATTGTGACACCTCCTTAACTTCTTCTTTCTTATATTAAAACTTGATGGGTTGTACTTATTTGTCTCCAATTGTTGTGTGCATTAGGCTGACCTCATAGCAATAAGTTTTGCCGTCGCCAGACGTCCATATTTATATATTCATTTGCTTACAGCGAAAGCAATAGACTCAGCGAACATTTTTGTGCCAGTTACAAAGGGGGTTTATTCAGACTAAGTGAATGAGATTCAACTTATAAAAAAAACTTATAAACTTATAAAACTCATAACTGATTTAACCCGCGCCCCACTGGGGTCTGTGTATAACACGCCCTACTGGGGGGGGGGGGGGGGGGCTATTCATAGCCCCCCTCCTAACTCCGAAACTACTGGGCCGATCGTCAAAATTCAAACGGCGTCTGATAGCCCCGGAAAAAACTGTCGAGCGAAACCTAATTTCATTGACCTCAAGGTCACCGATGACGTCACAGGTCAGGTCAAAGTAAACATTATTAGCATTTTGGCTTGTTCACATTTTGGGCTCTGGCCGCCGTCTTACAAGTCAGATCAGGCTCATTTTTGGTTTCCACACTCGTGAACAGATGCTCTAGATACCTTGAGGGTACCAAACTTGTACTTTGATTTTCAGGTCAGGGTCAGGTCATCACAGGTCACGAAAATATTATATCATTCGTCGGTCACGTGACACATGTTTTATGGTCCATTTAGGCCATAGATTTCGAATTTGATGTCGTCTGTGTCATTCGAGGTCATTTTGAGTCGAATTTAGCTTAGGTCAGGTCACTTTCAGGTCAAAAAAGGTCAAATTTTGACGTTGAAATTTTTCAACAAAAAAGGTGTCTTTTTGATGCAGTTTGAGCTCAGGAACACGATGGTGCCATTTATATTGGTGTACGATGTCAAATACGTACTGAAAAAGTGATTTAAAAAGTTAATAATTTTGAATTTTTTGCAATAATGCGTATAACTTGGCCATTTTTGAAGATATTTAGCTAAAACTTGCTAGAGTTAGTCATAATCATGCGTTCTGTCACATATATTCCGGTTTTTTTCGAAAAGTCAAAAACTTTTTGAAAAAAAATATAAAAATATAAATTTTGAATATTATTATATATAATTTTCGAAATTTTCAATATTTTCAAAATCCGAGATAGCAGTTTGATAGCGCGGTCAATTTTGAGTCCTTTCATGCAAAGAAATTGGATCTAGCTTAAAAACTGAGCTCTTGGGAGCGATTGCCGTGGTTCAATGTTTTGCGTCGAAATCGGACGAACATGACGTCACTCTGACGTCATTTCCGGCCGACCTATGGTAGCTACGAAGTTCAAATTTTGACACAAGGTGTCAAATTGATGCAGCCGAAGGTACTGAAAGTTTGGTGTCGATCCGTCAAGCGGTTTGGAAGTTATTGCAGAAAACGGGAGGGGGGGGGGGGCTATAAATAGCCCCCCCAGTGGGGCGCGGGTTAAAAAAAAAACTTATAAAAAGGTTTTCATATAATATGTCCCTTACTAAGTGTCGTGATAAGGCTCTCAGCTATGCTCTCAGCTTCCTCCTTTTTTCAAGAACCCCAAACAATGCTCACTCCTGCAGGAGTGCTACGTGTCATGCGTACCTACTCGCGAACCTCCTTTCTGATAGTTTGTGGATTGTGCAGTGTGCAGGCCGCCCTGACCATAAACTTGCTGAATGCAGTCACCCTCGCGTGCAAACGGCACAGTATGTTGTGACTCATCACTCATATCCAAAATTCATTGTGACAGGATTATTCAAGTGATACCTAAGTGCACGCGATATGCTGCCTGTCGAACCTATTTTGAGAGCCGGGCTCCTCATTGCATTGCCGCTAACAGCGCGGCATATAGCACAGAAAGCAATGCCAGAAAGGAATGAACAACCTAAAACAACACAAGTTTGCTTGTGTTGCTTGTTTGTTGGTCACATGAAAAAGTTAGGCATTGACCAGTGCAGAGGCAACGACGAAATTAAATGACCTAACCGCCACCCGACCACTAAGCACAAGGTCCCCGACTATGCGTTACGGTTCACAGACGATCCATTTCACTCCTTTCGGCTAGTGAATTTTGAACACTGGCAAATACCAATCGGGTTAATTTAACCCTCGCCGGACCTATTGGTTTTCTACATACGCGCCGGCCGAGGGGGGGGGGGGTGGGTACGACCCCCCCTCGCCGTTTCGCCCCTGGTGGAGCTAGCGCGTCGCGGAAAAAAACGAGCGTGTGCGCCGTTACGAGACGCAGAGATTGATACCCGATTTTAAGGTCCTAGGTCAACCGGTGACCTCTGAGGTCAGGTCAAGTGCCCCAAGGTACGGTTCAGTTTTTGGTGAATAACTTCGCAAAAAACGGCCGCAGAGCGCCGATTTTGGCAGCATCGTGTTCGTCTCGCTCAGGCGCGTCGAATGATATACTTTTTGTCCGGGTCAGGTCAACTTGGGGTGTTGACCTCAGGTCAAGGTCAGGTCAGCACCCCCAGGTCACGAAGTTGGTCGAAAGAGGTCATGTCGCATATCATTCGATTCGGCAGGTCTTCCTGAGTCCATTGGTGGCTTTCCCGACTCGCTAGCTCAATTTGATCAAGAGTTATTGACGAAAAACTAATATGACCTTGATGACGTCATAAATGACGTCACGCAAG